TAACATGTGTTGTAGTATTTGATGTTGACACTATTCCAATCACACTTCTAGAATTTACTGAAGGTTTAAATACCTTGAAACTAGACACAATGTAAAAATTTGATAAGAACTGTGAAGGAATAGCTAAATATCCGTCACTTTCGCCATCATGTCGACTAAAAACAAATAAAATAATAGGTACAGATGCAAGGATGTATACACCTTTTCTTTCTTTACCGCCTTTATTAGCTACAGAAGATGATAGATCAAACGTGTTTTCTCCTTTAGACAAAACAATTGGCTGATTATTATTTCCATGTATTGAGAATATATTTGCAGTTCCTGGATACGTAGCAAATATGTAAACCTGTGGAGCATCGCGATTAGGGTGATGTGTTTCGATGAACATGATATAGTATTCGTAGTACCCAGTAGCTATAAAATAATAAAAAAAGTAAGTAATACAGTTTCAAAAAACAAATATTTATAAAACAAACAAATATTCATTGGAGTGCCAAAATACATTTTTTTCTCAGTTTACGAAATAGTTTTTGCATATTCTTTATTGTTCTGTTTATATGATTAAAACAACTACATTTTTAACGATTGATTTCTGTTTCTTTATTAAGGTGGGGAAATATTAGTTTCTAGATTAAAGATATTCAACAGAACGAGGTCACAGCAATTATGGAAAGAAAATGAGACAGAGGATGGAACAAATGTAAACTCGAAGTGTTATGATTGCTATTAAAAAGGAGGACACATCAGATATAAACATCTAAATGTTACTTGCTACAAAAAAGAATATTTGTAAACATATAATTATATTCCACATAAAGTCGACATTTGATTATAACAGAGGCTCGAAGTCAGAATAATGTGTCTGGTATTGTTACATGTCCTCCTGTGGACCCTGTGAACTAGCCTGTTTAACATCTGGCTGACCATGTAGGTTAAGTACAAAGAAAGGTCTATAAATGTATCGCATTATTAGATTCTAGTCCTAAATATATGAGTTTAATTTGCCACTGAACAATTCATAACCATTCATCATCGATATCATTATCATCATCTGTTTTGAAAAGTTTATACTGAAAATGTTAACATAAAGCGTATCACACAAGTAAGAGTGTGGTGCCATTCAGCGTTTTCAAGCTCATCATGACTCTTTACAAAGTGCACCCGCAAAGTATTGAAAAATATCGTGTTGTTTTATCATTTCCTTTGTTGTGTATTCAAGGTATTGGTGTGAGGATATTTATTGGGTTTTCTGAGAAAGGTTTAGTACGTACAGTTACCACATGGTTACATTATTCAAGTTTTTTGTTTTGTTAAAAATGACGATCGTTAAATATGTTGGAAGAAATCAAAATGTGTTTTTCTTAATTAACTTAACCATATTAGCATCTTTGTGTAATATTCATTTGAAATGATATGCATTATTAGTATAATGATTGTGAAAATATTTTAACTACCCATAGATTTTGAACTACTTCTTGTCGTAGCAACATATGTTATCTTATGCGTAGTTGTAACTAAGGTCATCGATTCATGCGTAGTTGTTACGACGGTTGCCAACTCAGGCGTGGTTTTAACTTTAGTTGTCAACTCAATCGATGTTGGTTTCATATCTGTCGTCTTTTGTGGTATTAATGATGTTGTCGTGAAGTCCAACAGACTTCCACAGTGGGTATTGCATAGGTCTGTGGAACAGCACTTTGAACACAAAACTGATCTCTTTTGTTTTAAACCATGGGAACGCTTCGTCTGCCAACAATCGGTAATCTTCCACTTAAGGCTTGACATATCTGTATTTGAATAATAATAAGATACCATGAATATTTGCTCGACAATCCTTGGATTATAAAATACAAAAACTAAACAAAATGTCACAAAGCCACTAGGTACATTAAGCTATTAATAAGCTTAAGTTATAAAAAGAAATGTTTCACATCAGCTATCATGTACCGTGAATTATCCTATTTTCCTTTAGTTAAAAGAAATTCTAAAGAATAGTATTATTGTGTGTTTACTTACGTGTACATTCTCACAAGAAGTTTTAAAATGTTTTATGTTCCATCGGAAAGAAAAGTCAATGCATGAACCCGTAATTGCATATCTTTGTCTACATGATTAAATAAAAATTGATAATATAAATATACAAAAAGACATATATCATTTTGTTGTTTTCTAAGTGTTTAGACAAGGAAAATTCGGTTAATATGGTATTAATTCTCTGTGTGCAACGCTAATATTGTTTTAATCCCATATTCCTAAAATCATGTATCGTTAGCCACTTGAGACGTTTGATAACATGCCAATAAAAATTAAAAAAATAGTAATCAATTTTTGTTTTTGCAAATGTTCACCTGTTCATTAGTTGTGGAGAAGTTTGAAACAATATATAAAGGCAGCAGTAGTATACCGCTGTTGGAAAACTCATAAATCGATCGAGATAAAAACAAATCCGGGTTACAACTAAAACTGAGGGAAACGCATCAAATATAAGAGGAGAACAACGACACAACAAAAACACAACATGAAAATGTAACACACACATTTATTGTCCAATAAAAAAAAAATAAATGCAAATACCTTACAAAATATCTTTTTCACATGATAACACTCAGATTGATGACATAGATGTATTTCAAATAGGGATGGGCACGATTACTGTCAATTCTAATCGACTACTTTTTATATGTAATCGATTAAACGATTACACCTATTAATGTGTGTAATCGATTACAATATATGTATCTCATTTACTGAACTAAAATATGAACGCATTAGTTCATTGTCAAGATGACTTTGTAACCTTTCTTAATTCTTTGATCATCACATTACATTATGGACCAAAGGTTTATCTATTCCCAGATAAAACCCAATTTCGTATTGATACTATTCTTGAATGTTACACATTATGTTACACTACTGACTCAGTTTAGGATAAAGGTTGGCGCCTGTTAAAGAAGTTTAAACCCTCTGCATTTTTAAGCACCTGTCCTAAGTCAGGAGCCTGTTGTACAGTGGTTGTCGTTTGTTGGTGTGGTTCATAAGTGTTTCTCGTTTCTCGTTTTTCAAATAGATGAGACAGTTGGTTTTCCTGTTTGAATTGTTTTGCACTAGTCATTTTGGGCCCCTTTATAGCTTGCTGTTTGGTGTGAGCCAAGACTCCGTGTTAAGGGCTGTACTTTGACCGATAATTGTTAACATTTTAAACATTGTGACCTAGATGGAGAGTTGTCTCATACCACATCTTCTTATTTATATTTAAGAAATTATAACACAATCAAGCTGTTTCCTTCAATGTTTATGTAGTACATAACATTACTTAAGATATTTTCTATTTTTCATTTATATGTATATTAAAGATCCTTAAGTATTTTCAAGTATATTATGTCATTCATTCTGTTTTAAAAGCTGGAAATACAGTATTGTAATTTGTCAGGGAAACTGATGGAACAAAAGGCAGCTTTGAGGCAAAAATAAAGTCGACCGTTTAATTTTGTCAGGTTTTGTGGACCTTCTTCTTTTCAGTATTTCTATTTATTCATTGTTTCTAATTATAATAAAATTAGGACACCTATTTGACTGTTCGAAAGTAATCTTTGAAAGAATTTTGTAGTTTTAAAGGTAGATAGATAGATAATGTCATAAGTAATAAAAGTGTGAATTTTCTCCTCACTACTACAGGAAAAAGAGAGGCGAAAGATACCAAATGGACATTCAAACTCATAAATCAAAGATACACTGCCAACGCCATGACTAAAAAGGAAAAAATCAAAAGACAAACAAACAAACTAACAAACTAACAAGCAGACAAACAACAGTACACAAAAAACCAATATAGAAAACAAAAAAACTGAGAAACACGAATCCAACCAAGATGGAATGATATCAGGTGCTCCGGAAGGGTAAGCAGATTTCCTGCTATACATGTGGCAGCCGTCGTGTTGCTCATGTCAGTACAAACCTGGTGATAAGTTTAATCGGTGGGTCACATTCGTAGAAAAGGGGACGGCATAGTATCATCTGTGAATCAGATATTCCATAACGGTCGACCAACTTGAGATGCCGGCCGTAACATTTACGAAGGGATGATTTCAACTTCATTAATTGGATCTCTTGGTTCAATAGCTTCCTTGTAAGCAGTAACCCATTATCAAAGAAATCATGATAGAAAATACAAGCCTTTTTTTGATTATCGTATCAACTGGAAGCTATATGATACGTATGCAGGCGCTGCTGGAATGAGGCTTCAGAGAAATGGAACGTTCACAATGGGGAAGCTGAAATCATTTCTGTTGTCGCAAAGTTTTGTATTCTACCGACCCTCATAGCCAATGTATAGAGGTAGGTCAAGATATAGGGCAGACTTAACTGTTTCATTAATCTCAAGTTCGATGGGATAGATGCGTTCAACATAGTCACCAGATTCCGAATTATTTAGTGAGAGAAGATAGGTAAAGTTGAAACCGCTTTTACTTGAATATCACCGCTAAGACAACAACAACGAAAAGATCGCCCTTTAAAGGTTTATGAATTATCATCAACAGTTTTAATTCTATCAAAATTTAAGTGGACTAAAAAGTTGCACCACCATTAACAACAAACATGAAAAAGTGTAACTGAAATGTTTCCAAAATGAATGATCAGCTTAATACAAAATAAGTATAATAGAGGTTCATTACCTCAACTGCATATGATCAGGGAGACGTCACGCAAGGGTATATCATAGTTTTATATGACATGTATGACAAATCCAAATAAAAATATGCAAACATAAATAATCGGCTAACAGGTTCTTTTCAGCTGGTCAGCAAATAAAGAAACAAAATACATTACAAAGTTGCTTTGCAAGTTTTATTATACCAATAAATAGTTTTATTCAATTTAAAATAAAGTTTGATGCAATATCAATAGGAAATTTTATCTAATACCAATAGGTTGTTGTATTTATCAAAATATTAGTTTATGAAATTAAGGACGAGGTCGTGGGTGGCTCTAACTTGTCCTTATATACGTTTTTGTCTGTTTTGATATGACATACGTCGTCTGCTGGTGTGTATTGAAATAAAAAGGCGGACGGCTATAGCTAATGTTGTATTTGTTTTCCGTTGATTGAAGAACAACCTGACAACGAAGCGATACGATCGGTTGAATGTATCAAAAATTTAAAAATTTGAATAGATTTACCTACATTAGTGCGACAAGAAAGATCCATTCTAAGTTTGACATTAAAGGAGACTGCATATATACTGCATATGAATCAAAAAGGTTAATGTATTTGAGGTTGTTGTGGAACACTGATGGATTTTTATAATTTTGCATCATGTTCTATAATATAGGAAATTCGCACTTATTGAGACAAAACATTTGTTGGAACTGATGTTTTTGGTACTGCAGATTGCTATATATCTGCGTCGAAAAAAATAGGAGTAATTTGAACGAACTAACGCAAATCTTCAAAAAAAAACTTTTTTTATTTACATTAAGCATCTGAGACTGCATTACTATTTCTTTTATTTTATATCTGTGCCTTACTCATTATTGAAATTTCGCGTCTGTCAATATAAGTAACAGGGATATTAAATCATTATATATAGACTAACCACAAATTAAATGAAGCATCAATATACATAGTTTGAAACATTTTAGTCATCTTTTCTTAAACGTCAACTATTTTCCTTTACTTTTATAAACGACGCATCATTGTTTAATTGTACACTTTAAACTGTCCTCTAGTAAGGTAGTTCACTTCCCAGTCTAGGCTAATAGATTCAGACTGCAATGTTTTATTTCCTTGCGAAACTCTGTTCGTTTGTCTTTTTATTTACAAATAAAAAAGGCTGACCATTTTTCAATTTCCTCAATTTTATATAGTGTGATAATCAGCATTATGCCATCTAATTTGACAGTTTGTACATCTGAAAATATAAATAAACCTATAACGAAAAGCATTGACACAGGTATATTATGTCCAAGAGGAGAGTCTCCAGTCCTCTCTTTAGCTGTCTTTAACTTTTAGAGCGTTGCTTTTCATACTTTAATTTTAGTAATTTCGTCAGAATTTTACAAAATTCTTAAAATATATTGTTCTATATAGTATTGTGCAAGCGATTGATTCTTTATATGCACAAACTTATCGTTTTGTATTGTGAATCTTGGGTACAATTATCACCAGTGTATACTTTGTCATAATGACAAAATAATATAATTGACGTTAACATTTGAATGAATTTTCCTTCATTAGTGCGACAAGAAAGATCCATTCTAAGTTTGACAGTAATGAAACTGAACAATATTATGGTATTTCCCAAAGAGATTGAGGGAGCAGGATTGCTTATTTATACTAAAGGACGTACGTCCATGCAAATTCTGGTTAAATAAATAATATGTCATTAAATAAAAAAGAAGCTACTGATTTTACAACAATTTACCGACTAGTTTTTGAATACTTATCTAACTAATTATCTGGTATTCGAAGTGTTACGTTATAGTATTTTAAAATACGACTTTTAGAACAAAAGAAAATAATTACATAGCATACACATTTCTTACGATTCTGTTATTTTGATTGGCCAATGCACTCTAAATTTATATATCATTTCACGTTAAAAGGCATTATCTATGACTGCACTTGCTATATTATTAATGTTAATACAATGCACATAAAATCACAAAAAAAACACCCTGATTTAACACGTAATTTTATAGCTGTGGTATCAAATGTAATAATAAGAATGTACTGGTTCTTTTTGTTATCTTATACAGTTGTAAAAGCGTTGAATGTAAGACTAGTGTTGCTATGAAGCGCTTCCACGCTTAGTTCAAAATGGGATTCGATCGACGCTTTAAAACCCCAATACAATTTAAAAATATGTTACATTCATGTCTTAGATGAAATAAAACAAAATGCATAGAAGATAGTCCAGCACACTATCAATATATGGAAATTGGTGACACTTGCTTCTGAAGGCTTTTGTAAATTGGATGTTATGCATTGTGTTTTCGAAAACGATTATTGCTGAACATCAATCACAATTTTGACTATGTTTTGCTAAAAATGCATTGATAACTTCTGCAATATAATTTATGATTTAAAGTATGTATTTTCTAGAGAAAAATTGTGCAATAATGGTTTTTAGACATAACTAATTAGTTTGATATTTGTTTTTTTTTTTTTTTTAATAAACTTATGGTATTTTCTAAAAGTTTTGTCGCAACTCCTTAGATTAAAGAATTCCATGTAATCTAAAACCAAACAAACACCTTCTTCCATGATATTCTGTACTTACTTTTGATTATCGAAGTGACGTAATGGACTTGTTTTCTAACATAATGATATAAACAGATAGTCTCACACTCCCTCTGTATCTTGTTGTCGGTCAACCGCTGAAAAAAAGCGGAAGATACACCATTCTATATTTAAGTAAAATTATAAGACAAATTAACATTGTAGTCTATGCTTTTGTTTTGTATAAGAAAGGAGTGAAAGATATCAAAGAGACATTCAAAACTCAGGAAGAAAAACTCCGTGGTAATTATCGAAAGACGACCATTTCACACAATACGACATAGAAAACAAAAGACTGAACATCGCAAACCCTACCAAAACAAAGGGAGATTTCAGTTGACACATCATGTTGCTTATGGTAGATACACATTCGGTGATAAGTTTGATTCCGAGAGTGAGTACGTGCATTTAAAAAATCAATTATGACAGGATCATTTTACTTGTGATAATTTTACTAACACCTCTAATATACAGATACTGTATATCTGTTACATTGTTATGTAATTGAAAAAGTGCAGTACACACAGAACGTATAATTTGAACATGTTAAGAAAACATAATGATAGTAGCAAGTTCTGCCAACCGTATGATCTCAACCTTGCAATTTAAAAATTAACAAATATGGCATCAATTTGAGAATTTATGACGTGACAACCTCACTTATGTACGTTTATGAACGCAAACAGCTACTAATGTTGCTACATATTTTCATATCCAGGGCGTGCTAATGCTTGGATTGTACGTACCTGATACATATAGAACAAAACACTTATTGCTTGACTTCATCACGGTAAATTATTAGGTGAGCCCAAAGGTCGAACCAGATATTATATCATGAAAAAGGCCGTGTATCAAAACAAAAAGTCCTTTATTGGTTTAACATGTAATTAATAAAGAAAAATTACTTGAAAAAAGTGAAAATAACAAACGAACTACTTTATTGCGTCGAATCGCGAAAAAAATATACCTAACGTCAGTATGCATCACGTCATTCAGAATCTAGTCACAGTGTAGTACACATGGTGTACCTTTACCAGAAACATGGCGAAAAGAATGAAACTTGATAATTCTTTTAACGTTTCATTATTTCTTTATTTTGTGTAGGTTTCTTTCCCATAGCAGATTGTGATACGATCCGAATAATCATACATTAATTATAAAATACCACTTTAATAGAATATTTGATATTGTTTTAGTAGTTGTAAAATCTTTAACTTACTTGATCATAATCAGATTGACAATCTGTTTGAAAATCATATTTTTCTTTTCTTTGTAAGTTCTGTAATCATGTCGAAGGAAATTCCTGTGTAAAAACATAACCACTATCAGTTATTCAAATTTGAACAACGAGTCTTTGACTGTTGTTTATCGTTTTCTTGCAAGATAATGTAATTTGTTTCACACTGAACAAGGAATATTGAACATTGAAGGCCCACAATATTCTGTTATTGTTCATATCTTTGTTCTTTTGTCGATGCGTAGTTCTGACATTGGCATTTATTCCAGGTCTCTATATTGTTATATTGTACTTCCAAAAGTATTATACTCGTATTGTTACTGATAACAAGATGTTTGCAATTTTATTTGGTATAACTTAATGCCCACTGATTTAATGCGTTAACCATGTAAACAAAACCATCCGTTAGCTGACTATGCGGTATGGGTTTAGTTAATTGTTAAAGACCATACGGTGACCTATTGTTGTTTAATTTTATGTTATTTGGTATATGGTGGATGTCCCATTGGCAACCATACCCCATTTTGTTATTTGTATCTATCAATTATAATATAATAATTTGGGCTAATTCCAAATGAGACAACAACCTAGTGAATCGCATCCATCTAGATGTTAAATCATTCATAAATCTATAGACGTTTTAATGTGTTTTCAGAATTTTCAAGCTTTAAATAAGTCAAAGATCGGACATTTACCATATCCAAATAAAAATTGTACCCTAAAGACGTGTCAGGCTAAGGACAGACACATGTACATACAGCGTTGTTATATTTTCTTCGATCTCAAACCTGCCGATTTTAATGTTGATTATTTTTTGTATTGTTATTAAATTTATTTTATCACATGTACAGAATTTCATCATAAGACATGACCCACTGAAGATGAACTTTTTATTTACAGAGTGTTTAGTAGTAAACTTTCTTTATTAGTAAACAAAAATCAAATCCATCTAGAAAATAATATTTAACAGTTAATGTAAAAAAATAAATCATATTGAACTTATCCCCAGCGAAAATAGATTAATCAATTATGTTTTTGAAAAATAGTGTTTTCCAAATCAACTGAAATTCATTGTATACTGTATTCAAAACAAGACAACTCTAATAACATACACGATACAAATTTGTCATCACCAGATGCGCATTTTGACAATATATGTCTGTTCATCGATGCTCAAACTTATTGAATTAAAAAGGTTAAAGACAACCAAAACCAACCAATAATTCATGTTAGAATGTTGTCCATTAAAGATCAAAAGAAATAACTTTATCTTAAAAAAATAAAACTACCGTATCATTTTGAATGGCAATAAGAGTGTTATAATGTAAAACTAATTGTAAAATAAAAGTCTGCGTACTGTCATTTTATAACCAATATGCCCATTTCGATGCATTTTATAATAGCATTCATGCATAGGCGCAATGCATCTAATTCTAATTTTAAATAGTTGACGTATACGCGTTATATAAACTAACATACTATAAATTTCAATAAGATAAAGACAGTTATATGTATGCTCATGCTATATTATAAAGCAAAATGACAGGCTAATCAATTCGATCGTTATTGAAAACAAACTACTAGTATACGTACTCACCCCGTGTATTTTGAATTCAAGAGTCCTAACAACCATGTCGGAAACGATGATGCAAAGTCTAGATAATGAATTACAATGGATACAGTTACACGATTTTAGTATATTATTCTGAAAGCACCTGCACAGAACGTCAATGCAGAAGCATAAAAAAGAAAATGTAGTTTTGTTTAAATGAGAAATTTTGGATTGCTAATCATAAAATGGATACCAAACGGACTGGTTGAATAACGGTATAGTGCATGAACTAATTACCTTTATATATAGCAATAAAGATTGGAAATTCTAAAGGACCTTGCATTTGGTCTCTGGTGGAGAGTTTTCTCAATGGTAATTATATCACAACTTCTTATCTTAATATTGTAGGTCTTTGACATGCTTGTTTTGATATATAATTAACGTACTAATATCGATGCTTTTTTAAATAACGTATTTTTGTATCATTACAAGTAAATGAATTGTTATCAGCTAATGTTGATTGCTGCATTTTGACAAAAAGTCTACGGTGCAGGCAGCGTTTTATATGCCATTACAACTATTTCCGGGTGACTTGATTTCAATCAAGATGATGACTATGTGATATCTTTCACATAAGTTTATTTCTTCAAGTTTATATATGCGTGTATTACTTCATAAGTTATTTCTTTCTGAATAATTTTTCTTCTTGCTGCATGGATAAAAGTACATATATACTTTTAGTACAGTATAGTTTGCAATCGCAGGTAGGATGCGGTTAAAGTAATTCAATATTACTTCAAATTTCTTGATCAATTTTAGGTCGCAATTTGCCCATTTTTAGATCTGGTGTTTACTTCAAAATCTATGCATCTTCTTCTTGAGTCGTTCCTGTATTAAAGTCGATCCATTCATACTTCGGTGAGATGCGTTAAAATGAAATGAAAACCATTATTGATCTAACCTAATTAAATGTTTCATTTGTTTTGGCTGTGACTCTCGAAACTTCTAACTTTGAAAGAAAATACTCCTTAAACAATTAATTAATAACTGTTCAGCAAATATGGAAATATGTGTAGTGATTTGAATTTTGAAACATACTTATAATTCTTTTAGAAAACCGGTAGTGGCACAAAAGGTCTGAATGAACGTGATAATAGTGTAGTGACTAAAATTAAAGAAATGTATTATTACTTACCGCATGTAGAACAAAATTAAAATACCGTTGTATTTCATTTAAAACACTAAAAAACAAACCTTAATGTACAGTTTTAATGATCCTCAAATGTTATCATAAAACGAACACAATACTTTTTGTAACTATATTACATGTTTCTGATATAAGGAAGTCAAATTCTTAAACAATATTACTTTAAATATACTTACTGAAGTGTATACATACACTTATTGATTTTAAATAAATACAGTACTTTTCATTGGCGTTTTATGTTAAACAAAAGTATAAAGCTGCTGTTATATTAATAGCTAGAAGAGTTAAAGTCGATAATACAAAAGCAAAAAGAATTATATGATTGACAAATATTTAATAAAATTGAGTACTATAAAAAAGCAACAAGCAATTTGCAGTGATTCTGTTAAAAATAAATATAGCAATGCTAAATTTATTTATACAACATACATAAAAACAAAATTCAAAATATGAATACATAAGTTAGATAGTTTAAATTCACCCTAAGTTAACTATTTCACAGTCTTATGAAATCAAAGCACATACGAAACGTCACAATAAACTTGCAATTGATAAATTTTACATTTTGTTTTGTCGTGCATTTTTGGCCTAACCGTTTATTACATGTAATTATAATGGATATAACTACTAGACGAGTGTTACATCTTTGAAGATCGAACATTTTACTTCAGTTAGATATCCCTTTTTATATAATGTATCAACCTCCTTTTGTTTATTTCAAAGTTAATTTTAGTACATTATCAAACAAATCCTTAATATGTTCTTCCTGGTTTATTTCAGGGGTTCGTATTGCTCGATGTTGTTTTGACTGTTGTTTATTTTTTTTACTTTTCTGTTTGTATGTCTTTCTTTGACTTCTGGATTTTGTTTGCGTTGTTGGAACCTTTAACATACAATGTATTTATTTTATTTTTCAAGTTGACATCATCAATAAGAGTTCACTCCAAAAGCATGCATGAGTCAACTTCTGATAATGCTAATCGTTGTAGTAAAGGCTATTTACATACCTGTTGTTTTAAACACATATATGCTATTAATATCCCTAGTGTCGGTATATAGAACAGTGGGTGCTGATTCTTTTGATTTATTCCTCATAATTAACTGTTTGTTATTATCAGCATAGAAAATGTAACTACCAAATAAACCCATAGCATCGTATTCATTAGAATGAAAATGTGTTGAAATGATTGTTTTAACATCAGAACCATCCAAATTAACTGATTTTATGTCACCATCGGAATTCATCCAATACAGTCTTTGTTCAGTCAGGTCTAAAACATATTGAAACAGTTTCTTAAACGCTTATAATTATTTATTCATCAGTTAACAATATATAGCTGTACAACGTTCAGTTAAATAAGGAATGGACTATCCACTCTTGTTGCATTATGCACGCATATATTTATATTTATCTATTTGTATATCTTTTTATTTATTTATTTATTTTTTTTTTTATTTATTTATTTATTTATGTATTATTTATTCATCATTTTATTTATTTATTTATGTATTCATATATTTCATTGATCTATAGATATAATGCGGCTTAATGTTATTTCAGCGTAAACCGCTTAACATCAATTTACGAGTCAATCAAATGTACATTTAAAAAGGGGCAATAACAACATTTAAATCAAGTTTCAAATTTGACAAATTTCAATTAAACTTTAAACAGTATTTGTAAATACAAACAAATGTGACTACGTATTTGTATATCTAGTTCCTCAAAATGCTATTTTATTTGTTCCTTTGCTTGATCATCAACTAAATAGTGAGTTCTAAAAATGTGCAAATAGGCTTTTCATCTTTACTGTATACAAATGATAACTGGACGTTTTTGACACTTTAGATATGCCGGTTTTTTTTAGCTAGAAATTATTAAGGAAAAAAAGTTTCAACCCCTTCAAGCAAAGTCTACCTTAGATGGAATTTGCTATCATTTGAAAGTCCGTTTTGGCATATAGCTTTTAACTTATCTCGGTACTTTTACATTCTTGTCTTTCAAATATTTGGCTTGGAGTCTTCCTGATGAATGTACTTCATAGAATGCGCGTCGTACGCATAAAATTTACAAAGTTGTTTTTTTTCATTTTTTATTTAATATTTGTTAAAACATCATGAACATGTCAAACATACTCATTTGTTTAAATGTTAACGAAGCAAAATATTGTTTTCATTTATTTCGACTCAACCTAAGATGCATGCAAAAGGTAACTCATGGTTTAAAAATATGCACACAATTTATTTTTTGTTCAGAGTGAAAAGTTATATTCAAAAC